GAAAAGCCCAACTCAAAAAATAAATGTATGAGCATTTTCAGAAAATGATATTTGTAGAATAATATGTAACATAATATTTTCAAAATAGCTATACAAATATTTACAAACCATATCAAATCAACTATTAATATTGCTCTCAACAAGGAAACATAAATAAATAGGGAGAGATTCGATAGACGTATTGGTTTGGGCCAAAGAATGCGTCACGACACACTTGAAGATAAGCTTCATGGCCCATTGCAGAAGTATTTAAAGGCCCAAGGAAAAAATGGAAAACCCAGCGAGGACACGTTTGTCAATTCAAAATTTATTCGTACGGACACAACCTCAACCGTTGGATCCCAAAGTCCATCATATTCACAAAATTCGATCAAAGCCGAAGCCCTCACACGCACTTCAAAATTTCAAATCATCTCTCACACACTTCAATCCCGCTCTCTTTTTTCACTTCTCTCTCTCTCTCTCTCTCTCTCTCTCTCACACACACACACACACACACACACACACACACACATCAAATCCATCGAAACTCTGTACAATTTAGCCCATCATCAAACCACAGACACGCTGAAGGGGAAGATGACGAGCCGCGAGAAAGAGAAGGGCGTCAATGTCCAGGTTCTCCTCCGTTGCAGGTAACCATGAATTATATCCATTTGATTTTTTTTATTTTTTTTTTGTTTCATAATTTTTTCCTGATTAATCTCGGTGAATTTTCGAAGGCCGTTTAGCGAGGAGGAGTTGAGGAACAATGCGCCGAAGGTGGTGACGTGCAACGAATTCCACAGGGAGGTGTCCGTTGCGCAGAATATCGCCGGGAAGCACTTTGATCGAGTTTTTACGTTTGACAAGGTTAGTTTTATTGAAGAAATTCGTTGCTCTAGGGTTCATATTTTTAGTGAATTAAGTGTGTGTCATGGTTCGGGTTTTTTTCACTTTCTGTAGTTTGATTTTTGTACGAATTAATTCGTAGTTGTTTGTTTTATGCTTATGTTAAGGTGTTTGGACCGAGTGCCCATCAGAGAGATCTTTATGAACAAGCAGTTATTCCAATAGTCAATGAGGTTTTAGAAGGTTTCAACTGTACGATTTTCGCATATGGGCAAACTGGAACTGGAAAAACATACACCATGGAGGGTGAATGTAAGAGGTCGAAGGTACTACTTCTCGAAAAGATTGTAGTTTTGGTTATCTATTTTTATTTTTCTGGGGGCATGTGTGGATTCACAGTGGCCTGTGACTTTGTTTTTTGTTCAAGAGTGGTCCGAATGGAGAACTGCCTTCCGGAGCAGGAGTGATACCTAGAGCAGTAAAGCAAATTTTCGACACATTAGAGGGTCAAAATGCCGAGTACAGTGTCAAGGTTACTTTCTTGGAGTTATATAATGAAGAAATCACAGATTTGTTAGCTCCGGATGATATATCCAAAGTCGTCCAGGAAGATAAACAGAAAAGACAATTGCCGCTTATGGAAGACGGAAAAGGGGGTGTCCTTGTTAGAGGGTTGGAAGAGGAAATTGTTACAAGTGCCAGTGAGATTTTCACTCTACTCGAAAGAGGTTCTGCTAAACGCCGAACTGCAGAAACTTTACTAAACAAACAATCAAGGTACTAATCATGTTCCTGCTATAGATGCCACTTGCCAGGTTTAGTTTTTGTATACTCCGGAAACAAATGTTAAATTTCTTTGGGTATAGCCGTTCGCATTCTCTATTCTCCATCACAATACATATAAAGGAAGCAACACCTGAAGGTGAAGAATTAATAAAGTGCGGCAAGTTGAATTTGGTTGATTTGGCTGGTTCAGAAAACATCTCTCGTTCTGGTGCAAGGGAGGTAAAGGTCTCAATTATTTAACATGGTTCTAAGTGAAGAATTGTTTCTTGTTTTCCACTCGGACATAAACCAGTTGGTCATTTCATCTCCAATGTTATAGGGCAGGGCAAGAGAAGCTGGTGAAATAAACAAAAGTTTGCTTACATTAGGCAGAGTAATAAATGCGCTGGTTGAGCATCTTGGCCATATTCCTTATAGGTTTGAATCGTTTGTCATAAATATTACTTTTCATGTCTTCCATTTAATTTGCAACAGTGGTTGATGATATTTTACATTTGCCTTATCTTACTTAACAGGGATAGCAAGCTCACACGTTTGCTTCGAGATTCACTGGGGGGTAGAACAAAGACTTGCATTATTGCTACAGTATCACCAGCTGTTCACTGTCTTGAGGAGACTCTGAGCACATTGGATTATGCTCACAGGGCTAAGAACATAAGGAATAAGCCTGAGGTCTGCCGTAAACTTTATTTTGCCTTAATGTAGATGATTTCTTCCATCCTGTTTGTTTGTTCGTCCTCGGTGTTTGTGTGGTACCGCATCTCATTAGTAGAGCTAATTAAGTTATCCACTTGTTCGCTTAAAGTTAATCCTGTTCAGTCTTATTTTTATTCCCTTTTCTAGTGAGTTGCGCGTGTGTGGGTGTATCTACGGAGTTCATTTTAAGTGACATCAATATCATTCTTTTGGCTGGAGTTCTTGAAATACTAATACTTGAAGTCATTGTCCAAAGGAATTGCATTTGATGCCCAGTTGTTCATTGTTCTGATATTATTGCAAAAATTACCACATTGTCTAACTTGATCCTTATCTATTCGTATAATTTGTAGGTGAATCAGAAGATGATGAAATCAACTCTTATTAAGGATCTCTATGGTGAAATAGAACGACTAAAAGCAGGTAATTATTATCATTTGTCTGTAGAATCTTTTGAAATATTTGCTTTCTCAATTGATGTTTACTCTGTGGCTATACACAGAGGTTTATGCTGCCAGGGAGAAAGTTGGTGTTTACATCCCTAAAGAGCGATACCATCAGGAGGAGAGTGAGAGAAAGGTAATATACATTGGATAATACATTTTTTTCTATCAAACTTGCTCTTTCTAGTCATTTTTGTTGAATTTATTAAACCTATTAGGTTGTTTTTATTTATTGTTTCTTCTAAAAGTAGTCAGGTTAACCTATTTTTAGATACAACAAGAATCATATATGTCACATCTTTAATAACAAAACTTTTTGACCGTTTTAGGCAATGGCTGATCAGATTGAACAAATGGGAGTGACAATTGAAAATCATCAGAAGGTAGACATAAACAATGGTTACCTCTCTTTTGAATTTTCAGTTCTTCCAGAACATAATTTAGGCAACAGAGGCTGAATTATTGGCGTAAGTAGATCTCTCTAGACTTCCTAATGTTTTATATATGGCTTGCAGCAAATAGAGGAATTGCGAATAAAGTATGATTCTAAGGTTCAGCAATGTCTTGAGTTGGGCAAAAAGCTTGATTCAACCCAAGTAAGTTATTTTTTAGTGCTGTGACATTTATTAAATTTATATGAGTCTTACATGGAGTTTTTTGTAGAGTGATCTGAACTTAACAAGCAAGTTGTTGGCGAACACTGAGGATGACTTGCAGCAATGCCAGTATTCTCTAAGGGAACGGGACTTTATCATTTCTGAACAGAAAAGATCAGGTATGCAATGGAAACTAGCAATTGAAATTACTTTTTATGGTATCTAATAGTTCCTGAATATTTTAATAGAAAATGCGCTGGCTCATCAAGCTTGTGTTTTACGGGCCGACCTGGAAAAGTCTCAAAAAGATAATGCTTCTCTATTCTTGAAAATAGGTAAGCATTTTACAGACTTCTGTTTTGGAGTTTCAAAAAAATATGTGAAGGCACAACTCAGTGCTTTTAATTGATTTTTCTTTTCAGCTAGAGAGGACAAATTGAATTCTGATAACAGGTCGACGGTGAACAGTTTTCAGTCGGATCTAGCCCAGCAGCTTGCTACCCTTTGTAGCTCGCTGACTGCATCCGTCTCACGACAAAGCGAACATCTACAGTGTGTCGAGAATCTCTGTAACTCTTTTCTCCAAGTACACGATAAGGTTTTTTTACCTATTAGCTGGTCACTACTTGCTCATCTTCTTCAACCTAGTTTCATCTTCCAAAATTTGTGATTCAGTTTCCACCTGGCTTCAACTTTTGCAATATGTTAAGTAGTCCTAATTTGTTATTATTTCTCTTGATTTACTTCTAGGCTTCTGTAGAGTTATCACAAAAAGTAGATTCTTCGAGGGCTTTATATGTCTCTCATTTTGAGGCACTACAAAACGTTGTCTGTATGCACAAAGCTGGTAATAATGCTGCTCTGGAGGAACTGTCAGCTTTGGCGTCTTCTAATTCACAGTCTATTGAAGAAGTATGACGACTTTTTACGTATTGCAACTTTCGTTTGTTAATTGCTTTCTTGGTTGGGTAGTCTTACTCTTCTGTATCTATGTAGTTTTTAGCAGCAGAGGCTGCTGAGGCGAAAGCAGTACTTGATGACCTTCAGGATACACTAACAAGTCAACAAGGGGAAATGGCTCTTTTAGCAAGAGAACTTCGACAGGTTGCATAATTTTTCTGGTTATGTTGCTTTAGAAATAAGGTTTTCAGACTAATTAAAAATCTCATTATTGCTTTCTTGATATAACTAATAGTGAATTTTGCAGAGATTTCATGCTAGTGTAGAGCACCTGATGAACACCTCAGAATTTGTACATGGATTTATTGATAAGCTTGGGGAAGAAACACAAAGACTTCAACATCATGCAACTCAAGTTGATGAAATTCAGACTAAATGCATTGCCGAATTTCAGAAGGCTTATGAGGTTCCACCGTATTTGAATCAAATTATACATAACAAGACGTGATGCCAATCTCTTTTATCTTACATTCTATGTTTTGTTTCTGCAGGAACAGTCACGGTCAGAAGCAGAGAAGCTTATTGCTGATATGACATCTCTTGTTACTAACTGCTTGCATCGTCAAAAAGAGATGGTTAGCTTTGTGCAACCCTAGATAACATTTTGTGTTCCTTGTTTCCAGTCGATAACCAACTTTCTACTGACAGGTGGATGCACGGTTGGAAGATATTAAGGATAATTCCACTGGGAATAAGATGTTTTTGGATGAACATGTTTCAACTATTAATGGCATCACAACAGACTTAAAAAGGAAATGGCAGGATAGTTTTATGCAGACAGAGAGTAGTTTTAAAGATAATGCTGATTTCTCTGCAGCCAAGCATTGTCGTATGGAAATGCTTGTACAGAAATGGTACGAATACACAAGCCACCGCGTTTACTCCAGTCTCATCTCTTTTAGCCTAATTATATAGTTTATTCTTTGTCATGTTTTCCTGCCCCACTTCCCCTGGTGATCATTAAATTCAATTTTTGGGTCAGACATCTAAACACTATATTAACTAGTCTCTGTCCCTTTATCTTCAGCGTGAAAAGTGCTGATACGGCTTTGGTCCAGTGGCAAAAAATGCAAGAATCGTTAAATGGCATGGAAAGTAAAAATGCTTCAACCATCAATTTACATGTCAGGTGTGTTTTTCTAACTGTTTTCGTCCATATGGATGATAAAAAATAGATGATTAGAATTAGATGAGTAGAACTAATCAAAAGCATTGTGTTTTCTTGGTGAAAATCTGATCCTTAATGTCACCCGATTTTTAAATTTGAACCAGTACTTGTATGCCTTGTCCAGGAATATGTGGTACAGCAATGAACAACACAATGCTGAGGTCGATTCTGCTAGAGTTGTGGTTGAGGAGGATGTGAAAACGAACAGTGAAGATATGATTAACTGGTTTAAGGGTTAGTGTTCCACCTGACTTGATTTTAACTCTTTTTCAAGTGATGAAGTTTCAATGACTATCTTCCAGATGTTATGAACATACATTTTCACCCCAATTTTCATATTAGCTTTGAATAGTCAAACTTCAGTTAATTTTCTTGAGTTCACAGTGTATCTTGATAGGATGTGTGTTCTTATCCAACTTTGTGTTTCTTTACCTCAGGCGTGTCAGGGCAAGGGAAGTCATCCGTTTCCAAAATATTGTCGACCTCTAAAACTCATTCTGAAACTCTTCAGAATCTTACCACAGATCATTCACAGCAATTAGCCAGAATTGAACAGCATGCTGTTGATACTTTCAGGCAAAAATATATGGTATGTTTATCCATCACTTCTTGAATAGCTTAAATGTATTTCCAAAAGTTTATATATGATATAATCATGTGAAATTTTCTGTTTTCTGCTCATAAAGGATTTTCGTTTTTTATATCCTCATTTTCGCTTTCCTTTTTGAATGTCAGGATTACGAGCCTACCGGCACAACGCCCCTTAGATGTGAGCCCGATATTCCCAGCAAGGCCACGATTGAGTCACTACGGGCAATGCCTATGGAGGCCCTTCAAGAAGAATTTCGAGAAAACAATACGTTCGAGTTTCACGTGAAGGAATCAAAACCGACCCTTATCCCTCGTGCCCCATTTTCACAGATCAACTAGTGGCTGGCGGCAACCTTTCCAGTTTTCTGCTTGAAAAGCGTCGTCTGATTCTTCTTATTTGTACTTGATGTGTATAGATATGTGATACTAGAAAAATTGGTTCAGGAAGTTCATATGATATGACTTCAAGGGTTTAGATGCATTATGTTGTAGGGTCAGGTCATCAATTTAATCCCTTCTTTGGTTTTGGTTTATTCGTAAGCTTTCCGGTCCGAACTTTTCTTGAGCTTTATTATTTAAAAGAAGGGCGGGAATAACAAAATCATCTCTTGTAATTGTTCAGCATTAATGCTTCTACATTTTTAAATGGAAAAAAGAGACTAATTGAGCTAAGAGAAAAGTATAGATATATCCATAATGCCTTATTTTTTTTCCTTTGCACTCCCTCCTACAATCTCCTCTTTCCTATTCACTCGCCATATATGTACTACTTTTATTATTATTCATTTATTTTGCTAAAAAATCATAAAAATTTGGGAAAACTCCCTTCTCAATTCCCGTCTCTCTCTCTCTCTCTCAATTTCCATCGCCGCAATCTCTCTCTCTCTCACTACAGATCCGAAAAATAAAAATCGAATACTCTCAGATTTGAAAAAAAAATCAGCATCCTCAGATGTTAACAACACAGATAACCGTATCTCTCGGATCGCCTCCACCATTCGGGTCACCAGATTTCCCCGAGCCCGGGAAATCACAGAAACACAAAAAGGCAAAGCCCAAGTTGATAACTATATGCCCTTAAGGCACAGATAACCATTTTCTTCTCCTCTTTTTGTGGTCATAGATTTTGCGATGATACTGACGATGTCATCGTTGTACGAGAAGCAAGACGATCAAGTGGATAACTATGCCCTTAAGGCAAAAGCCCAACTCAATAAACAATACAACTAGATGGATGAGAAGGTATAATAAGCACTTAACCAATATAGGCATAATAAGCCAGTTGCACTACCGTGTGCCTTGGCACACCTAGCTAGGTGTGCCAAGGCACAATTGCACGCGCCTTTCACTCTCCAAAACTAGAGAAATTAGGAGAGTGTAGTGCACATCCCCAATTTTTTATTTTTAATTGAAAAATGAGACATAATACATAAATTAGAATATCATTAATTATTTATATTAAAAAAATAAAATAAAAATACTAAAATTCATAATTTTTCATTATATATAAATAGAGACCACATTTGATAGGTTTTTGAACACAACTAATTTTTCGTTTTATAATATGTTCACCTTATTGTGTATGTAACATGTTCATCTTATTCTATAACATGTTCATTTTATTATGTAACATGTTCATCTTATTCTATAACATGTTCATTTTATTAATGTAACATGTTCATCTCATTTTATAACATGTTCATCTAAATTTCATCTGTGAAAATGTAACATTTTCATCTTATTAGAGAGAATTTTGGTTTGTGAAGGTGGAAGATATTCGATCGAAAGACTAATTTATGGAATTTCTTTTACATTCTACTAGTTTTTCACTTTCATTCCCTATAGTATGACTATTGCATAAATTTGAGTTCTTAACTGTAGATTATGGTTTATTATTTCAGGGCGGGGATGCTTGCATTAAACGAGTGAAAGTCGAGCAACAAATTGACCAGAATTTTGTGTATGAAGCGGAAATGGGAGAAAATAATGTGAGAGCCCGTTATGTAGATATGGAATCTAAACATGTTCAGCTTATTCTATAACATGTTCCTTTTATTATGTAACATGTTCATCTTATTCTATAACATGTTCATTTTATTATGTAACATATTCATCTTAGAATTTGAATCGATTATACTATAATTGAATAGATCATACTAGAAATGACTCGATTATACTATAATTTACTGGATCATATTATAATTTGACTCGATTATACTAAGTTTGACTCGACTATACTAGAATTTGACTCGATTATACTAGAATTTGACTTGATTATACTAAGTTTGACTCGACTATACTAGAATTTGATTCGATTATACTAAGTTTGACTCGACTATACTAGAATTTGACTCGATTATACTAAGTTTGAATCGACTATACTAGAATTTGAATCGATCATACTAGAATTTGAATCGATCATACTAGAATTGAATTGATCATATTAGAATTTGAATCGATTATACTATAATTGAATAGATCATACTAGAAATGACTCGATTATACTAGAATTTACTCGATCATATTAGAATTTACTCGATTATACTAAGTTTGACTCGACTATACTTGAATTGACTCGATTGTACTAAATTTGACTCGACTATACTAGAATTTGACTCAATTATACTAAGTTTGACTCGATTATAGTCGAGTCAATTCAAGTATAGTCGAGTCAAACTTAGTATAATCGAGTAAATTCTAGTATGATCGAGTAAATTCTAGTATAATCGAGTCATTTCTAGTATGATCTATTCAATTATAGTATAATCGATTCAAATTCTAATATGATCAATTCAATTCTGCGTATTCATTTTACTAAGAAACGTATTCATTTTATAAAGAAACATGTTCATTTTACCAAGACACTTATTCATTTTACAAAGTAACAAATTCAAAGGAACATGTTCATTTTACCAAGACACTTATTCATTTTACAAAGTAACATATTCATTTTACCAAATATAACTGAGTCAAACTTAGTATAATTGAGTCAAACTTAGCACAATCGAGTCAATTGTAGTATGATCAAACCAATTCTAGTATAGTCGAGTCATTTCTAGTATGATATATTCAATTATAGTATAATCTATTTAAATTCTAATATGATCAATTCAATTCTAGTATGATCGATTCAAATTCTAGTATAGTCGAGTCAAACTTAGTATAATCGAGTGAAATTCTAGTATAGTCGAGTCAAATTTAGTATAATCGAGTCAAATTCTAGTATAGTTGAGTCAAACTTAGTATAATCGAGTCAAATTCTAGTATAATCGAGTCAAATTCTAGTATAGTCGAGTCAAACTTATTATAATCGAGTCAAATTCTATTATAGTCGAGTCAAACTTAGTATAATCGAGTCAAATTCTAGTATAATCGAGTCAAATTCTAGTATAGTCGAG